ACATGTCCGTCTAAAAATAATACAACTGGTAATATGACTTTGGTTTTAATTAACCAGGGATGAAACACATTAGCTATGTACTCAAAAAAGGTTTCACCAGTAATCCACCCTTTATCACTGACAGCCATGGCCCAAGCAATGTTCCGGTATTGATTTTGCAATTCCTTTTGGCATGCGTTTACCAGAAAATACCAACATAGTTGGTGCAATGGAACCATCCGCGGATACGTTTAACAGAGCTGTTATTTGTTGCTTATCATTATTTCCACACACCTCGTATACATTTTTTTCACCCCTTATGCTTAACACCTTTTCACCCTTTGGACACAACATAAAACCAGATTCGTCGGTGTTAAAAATGCGAGAAGGATCGTCAAGTATATCTGTTATATTATTTTCATTAAAAAAGGTGTAAACATTATCAAACCAATGTTCAATTTGAGTTTGAGTCACTTGGCTTCTAGATTTAGTCACCTTCTCAACAGTTCTCTTAGCCACAGTAGGGTGACGTTTCATAAAAAGCTTAAGCCATTTTTTGGATGGGTTTCCACCATTAAACAAATGGGCAATACCCATTTCTTTGGCTATTTTGCCAACAGACACCAATAAATTCCTACTAACAATTGGAAAACCTCTTTTGCTCATAGCCTCAATCCAATTAACCAGTAAAATTTCATGGTCCCCTAAAGCAGGAGGTGGTCCAAGTTTCCTATTTTCAACAGTTGTTTTCCCATCAATAATATTTTTTAGACTGGACCTGGGGACATTGTATTTTAAACTTGCCTTATACACATTAAGTTCTTTATTTTACACTGCATGCACAGCCTTTTGCATGTCTTGAATATTATATGCAAATTTTGGTTTTGAAGCCATTTTTGCAAGTGTGATTCTAGATACATATCAGAATTAAAATACATATCTAGGTACTTAGCAGAGGTACCGAAGTACATAAAATAACAAAAATTAAAAATATATATACCTATATAGTGCCAAAGACTGGGTTTTAGTAGCATACCAATGTTTGGCAATTAATGCCATACACTGGATAAAAATAACATGTATGGTACAGTGAATGGCAATTTGGTATAATTACTTATAACTTAAATATATTGATGAACTACCATACTTACTTATGAGATCTGATGCACAGATGACTATCTAAAAAAAACCCCAAATAAACAAGACAATTTTTAAATTTTTAAAAAAATTTCGAAAATATTGTTGTATATTATGAATGATAATAAATTTTTAATGATGATAAGGATTTTATCAAAATAATAAAATTATCAATATTATCAAGTATGGTTATACCAATATGCATGTGACCAAATAACAGCTTAGAAGTTCTTTGACTACATTGATAATAATATACAATGCTTCATACATAGGCACCTTATCTGTGACATGAAGAAAACAAAATTGCCAAAAACTGGGTTAGTGCCAAACACTGGTGTCATTACCCTATGCACTATATACCAAAATATAATAAAACTAATCATAATATTTTGAGTCGCCATTGAAAGTTACTATTGGTATTTTATGGACTGTATTGTTACGTATCTCCTTGGAGGTCCGTGCACAAATAAAAACAACGAACACTTTCGAACTATATGTTACTTTCTATATTTAACTTGAAAAGAAAAACTTACAATACACTTAATGAATTATTTAATGTTTTATAAAAAATGGTCTGACAATAATAATGTTCTGGCGCGAATCACAATGTTCCGTCTACTGCTCTGAAATGCCACTGGCACGGCTTGCTATACGAGCCGTGCCTGTAGCCAGCGCTTGCCTGGAATTGCTGTCGCAGCAATTCCAGACAGTCGCCGTCGTACAATATTATATTATACACTATTTTATATATATATATACTAACTAATATAGCCAGGGGTTCTTAACAGTATTATTTTTCTTTATAATTTATATTAGTTGGTAATATAAGTAGGTTATATAAGTAGGTAATAATATAAATTATAAATTAACCAAAATACTTTTGGTACTAAACCAAAATTTGACCTATAATAGGTACCTATAATAAATTCCAAAATAATCATAACACAATATCCATTAGGTACTTATAACGCGTTATATATCAACGAAAACCGTGATACTATCATAGATATATAATAGTACACTTTAGAAGTTTCAAGTACCTACAAATATTATTATTCAATCACAACAGAATAACTAAAATAGTTATTCTAGGTTTTTTAATATGTAATTTCGTCCAAATTTGAATTTAAAATGTCTGTAAAAAATAACTGTGTTCATATATTTTTTAGATTTTTTGGTTATAGTATGAACTATTTATGAGAACCTTTGTTTTAAATTTGCAATCCTTAGCTATAAAAACTGAACATTTTATAATTTATTAATTACAATGATTGATAATTTTCGAGATTTTGATAAATTTTGTCAAAATTCGATCTTTAAATGCTTATAAAAAAAAAAACTGTGCCCATGTATTTTTAATATTTTTCAACTGATATTGTAACAATATATCAGGAGCCTTGTATTAAATTTTTACATTTTTTGGCCCAACAGATAAAACTTAATTGATATTTATAGAAAAAAAAACTAAAGAAAATTGAAAGCGGTAAATGTCCGTAAATAGCTCAAAAAGAGTCAAAATATTTCAAAAATTATGCAGTGTATAGGAAATGCTAATATGAACATTCAGTGAAGTTTTCATGTATCTACAGTTATTCGTTTTTGAATTACAACAAAATAACAAAATCGCTACATGAGAAATCGAGTGAATATCCATTGTTGTAAACATTTGAATTTCAAACGCTCATAAAAATTTAATTTGACTTTCTTATAGAAATTTTTTTGTTTTGATAAAGGTAGATAATCTTATAAGGAATCTTGTATTACATTTTCAAATCTTAGATTTAAAAAGAAAAATTTTTACGAGTTCTTACCTCAAAATAATTTGCTAATTTTCGTGATTTTTCCATATTTTGTCAATTTTTGAACTTTAAATGCTTATAAAAAAAAATTGTGACTAAGGATTTTTAATATTTTTCATCTGCCTTTGAAACAATATAGTAGGCGCCTTGAATTAAATTTTCAAGCTTTCGCAACCAACAAATAAAATTTTATTGATATTTATAGAAAAAAAACTAAAAAAAGATGGAAAATGAAAATGTCCCTAAACAGTTCAAAATAAAACAAAATATTTTGAAAACGTTATCGTGTATGTAAAATGCAAATATAAACAACCAGTGGAAATTTCATGTATATACGTTCATTTCTTTTGGAGTTACACCAAAAACCAAAATCGATTTTTTGGAAAACCGATTTTGCGTAAAAATTCCCGGTTTTCCTTAATTTTTATGTTGTTTTTCCCGGCGCTTGTGAAAACTACTGGGAACTTTTTTTACTTTTGACCCCCCAAAGTACCAACTAGATTCACTTACCTATCAGAAAAGCTACTGTTGAAGAAAATCCAAGCACTTTTACTGTCCTAAAACGTGATGACAGACACAAAAAAAAATGAAAAAAAACACATAATTGTAAAATCAATACATTCATCGTTTCACTCAGAATTTAAAATACAATATCATACCTAGGTAGTATAAAGTAAAATATTTCAGATTCTGAATGGAGCGATAAATGTATTGTATTTAGTACTTACGATGATATGTGTTTTTTTTCCTGTATGTCAGTAACATTTAGATTAGAAAAAATTCTCCGATTTTTGAGTTCAGTATCTTTTCTGATATAAAAGTGAATCTTGTTGGTACTTATGGAAATTTCAAAGTAGTTTTAGTCGTTTTAGAAAGCGTCAAGAAAAACAAAAAAAAAAAATGAACAAAAATGGTAATTTTTACGCAAACCCAATTTTTGAAAAAATAAATTTTATTTTTTTGGTTTAACTAAAAAACTAATAACTAGAAATATAGTATTTTGACCAAATATTTATATTCGTACCTACAGTATGTTAGCCAAAAAAATCGAAAATGTCATTATGTAGGTACATACAATATAATAAAATACTTTAAAAATTTCAAGTATACTCTTGAATAATATTTTAAATTACAAAAAAATAACAAACTTCGTTAAATATGAGGTAAGTTCGTTCAAACTTGAACTTCCAATATCGAAAATATATTTTCAGATATCTGGGTTACAATATGAACAGCTTATGAGGACAGTCCCGGATTAAAACTATCGTAAGACCTAGCCACAGTACATTTAGTGCATACACACTAATATGGCCTTGCAGTTTCCAGTGTTTAAATGGTTAAGAAACTTTTTGTTTGGGAGAGGAAGTGTCAAATCTTAGTGCTAATCCTTTAAAAACCAAAATACTTACAGCATAAAAATCAAATCTAAACTTTTATTACTTTTTATATTATGATAACCATTTTAACAGATCTTAAAAACAATTAATTTTACTTCAAATATTTACATTAGGTTTAATAGGTATACACAAATTGAACGTAGAAAATAACTTAATCTTATTTTTATATTTTTGTACGTTTAGTTTAGAATGAATATTATGTGTATTAGTTAGGACCATCTTAAATATTAAAACAATAAAATAATAATAAATATAAATTGTGTATAGCAGTCCCGACGTAGAAGAAAACCAAAAGTCGATTATGATTCAGTGTTTGAAATTCTTAGTAGAGAAGCAAAACATATCTTTGATTCAAATGCAGTTCTATCAGCATACTCAAGTTCAATTTGGGTCAAAATTAGTGATGAACTAAAGGGAAAAATATCTGCTGGGTCACTTTACATAAGCATTTTACAAGATCGCCAGTAAAAATACTTTTATCTATTAAATCGCGATTGTAGTATTTTTCAACGTTTATTATTTCAAAAAGATAACTTTAGAATTTAGATATTACTATTACTTATAATATTATAAACGATCTGTAACTAATTAAAAATAAAAGTATTGTTTGCTTACTAGAATATTAAATACATTTTAAAAATGTTAGGTAAATTTGTTGATATTATATATAAATAATAATAATTTTTAATTAAGTTTGTTTTTTTCCCTTACGAACACTCTCAATTTGCCAAACTACACTACCAACATTTGAATTAAAATATTCTTTAAAATAGTCCCGTACTTGAAATGCTTCGCGAGTGCTATTTCTTCTTAACGAATCTATATTTAATAGAGCTGATTCTGGAAGTTGAAGTGATTCAGTGTCTGGTTCAAACGCATCATCTGCACACAACATGTTATGAAGGCAGCATGATGCGAGTACAACTTTATCTACAAACTCTGGTTGAATTTCTAAGGGTCCTCGAAAACATCTCCAGCGTGCAGCCAGGATCCCAAAAGCATTCTCCACAACACGCCTGGCCCGCGACAATCTGTAGTTAAATATTTTGTTGGGCTCGTTGTCCTCTAAATAACTTCTGCTATATGGACGAAGTAGGTAGGTTTTCAATGGAAACGCTTCGTCGCCAACAATGACATATGGCTGTGGTTGTCCATTTTGTATTATGGGGGCTGGTTCTGGAATATTGAACGTCTTACTCTGTAGTTTTTTTCCAATTATTGAATTAGACAAAATACCGCCATCGCTGTTTCTTCCATACGCTCCCACGTCAATCGCAATGAATTTATAATCAGCATCAACTAAAGCTAGGAGTACAATTGAATGACTGCCTTTATAATTATAGTATGTGGATCCAGCATTGATCGGACACTGAATATTAATGTGCTTGCCGTCAATAGCACCAATGCAGTTCGGAAAATTCCACATTTCTTTATATCTTGAGGCAATAGTTTTCCACATTTCTTCCGTCGGTTGTGGCATTGTAATTGGCCCTAGTCTCTTCCATATTGCTTGACAAACCTCTTGAACGATTTCACGAACAGTGCTAAATCCTAATCTATAACTGATCTACAACTGAAGCCAATGCTTCTAAATGAATTTCCTGTGGCTAGAAATCTGAAAAATATAAAAAATCTATTCACATCCACTTAAAATAAAAATATGTATACGTAAGTTAGGAAACCAACTTCGAAGAAAAATAATAATTTAATATCTCTATGAAATGTCGAATATTTCGTAAAATAAAAATCAGTGTATTTCTTTTAATGTGAATAAATAATAAGCTTAAACAATACGCTGGCCAATGTGAATTTCTAAACTATTAACTAAGTATGTACATTACAATAAATAAACTTTAGAAATAAATATTAAAAAAAAAGGTTCTTCAAAAATAAATACTAAGAGGGAGACATAACATTTGATGTAGTAGTGCAGCTGATTTCAGCGGTGCCCAGTTCATAAAAAAAATCCTCAATTTTTTACAGGAAGTGAAGCCAAACTACGGTGGGATAAATTAAGAAGATGTTTCACTAATGCAAAAAATAGGCGCCGTGAAAATACCAAGAGCGGTATGGCTTCTAAAAAAAAAACTTTTTGGAAAAATGAAAATCAAATGTCGTTTATCATACCATTTCTAGAAAATAGAAAGTGAGTATAAATATATTATATGAGTATAATTTATTTTTATCTATTTATACCTAAATTTTCCCCCAAAAATATGCCACTACCTACATGGCTTTACGGAATAAAAAGTAAGTCTAAAAAATCAATAATTAAAAACACACAATAACGAACCCACAATAATTATAATAATTAGGTACGTATTATAATATACTATATTTATTATATTATTCTGTATCTATTTTTATATTTCAATAAAAATGTTTATTAAAGGACACATGGAAACTTGAACGAGTCTCAAGCGTCTATCGATGTTGTGGCTGATTCAGGTGATTTTTCAGACGAGTTTGTAGAAAATGATACACCAAGTCCATCAGAAAACTGTGGTAATGTGGATGTGGAAGTCATACGAAATTTCCAGGCTATTGATAAATCAACTCTAAACGATGTCGAGTCAATGGAAAACCATGACGTAGCCATAAAACGAACCAAAAAAGAAAAATCTCAACCTATTACTCCAGTTCAACAAATGGTTGACATTTTAAAGGAAAAAACGGCTTTAAAGAAACGCCGATTTGAAGAGAAAAGTGTACGTTCAGACTCAGACTCGTCTAAAACTGACTTTTTAAATACTTTAGACGACACAGATATGTTCTTTTTAAGTATGTCAAAAATGACCAAACAATTGCCAAAAATTGAACAATCACGAATCAAACTTGGATTGAGCAATTCCGTATTATCTGCTGAAATAAGAACTAACGAACAATCATATTTTGGCACACCTGGTTATTCCTGTTACCCACAACAACAATCTATTTCATCGGAATCAAGTACAATACAACCTACTACATCACCCTCTTATTACTCTAGTGGAGAACATTCAACTACTTCAGCACAATATCAAAGGCAATCATTACTCGAAATGGCGTCTCTTCCTCCGCAAGATTACGAGTGAAATATAATAATACATTTTTTAGTAATTCAAAAACAGTATTTTGATTTTTTTTTTGTATCTCAAACAGGTTTAATTAAAAAGGTATTTTTAAATTTTTTTTATATTTTAAAAAATGTTATTTAAAAAAGGTATTTTTATATTTTTTTTATACTTTAAAAAAGGGTTATTTACAAAGGTATTTTTATATTTTTTTTATATTTTAAAAAATGTTATTTACAAAGGTATTTTTATATTTTTTTTATATTTTAAAAAAGGTTTAATTAAAAAATTATTTTGATTTTTAAAAATATCTATATCTATAAGGTATAAGGTATAATTTTTTCCTACATACCTTAAACAAACAGCTAATCTTTCTTCAGTAGTTATGGCTTTTCGAAGTTGAGTGTTTCGTTTGTATATATCACTTTTAATAAGTTCATGTATGTAATCAAATTGTTCTATTGTCATTCTAAAATACATAATATGGAAACGTTTCGAATCGTTTCGTAGCTCTTGAACTAGCCTTCGAAACTCACCCAACTCTTCTCTTTTGGTATTTATATCATGGACCCATGTTCTTGTCGACCTTTTGTTTCTCTCGTCTTCATCGAGGACCACAAAAGCAGCAACAGTTTCCCAATCTGATGAATCTGATGACTCGAACTTTCCATATTTAAAATATAAACTGACAAGTGCTCGTATCAAATATACAGTGCAAACTGTTTAAATATAGGTACCTACTGCGAAATGGTGAAAGACATGACACGAATTTATGACAATAGTGTATTTCTAAACGTGATATCACGGCTGATCACGGTTATGACATGCCAACTTGATTTCACGTGACGTGACAGTAGTGTGTTTCTACCTTAATAGGTACATCCTAGTTACAATCATTCATTATACTGCTGTGACGTATATAAGAAGAAACAATGGCAATTGGGGACTCCACGATGATTTACAGCCGAAGATTCAAAAAATACGTAATAAAGAATCTCTCAAAAATTTAAATACTCACATTTTAATGTATCTAAAAATTTAATTTGAAAAAGTTTAAAAAAACTTTATATAAAAGGATAGTTTTTTTTATGATTATATTTTACAGCTTTGGTATTTTTTTTAATTTTTAATTTTTACAACTGATATTTTTATTTTATTGTCCATTTTGTGCTAGAGCGGTTAGAGTACCTTCCCCACAAATTTATTTTTTAGTTATTGTGTAAGTGATGTATGAAAATCTATGAGTATTTATGTACAAATAATAGAAGAAAATGTATACGTGTGTTTTTGAATAAGTATTTAACCTTAAATACGAATATTTTATGTGTACGTGCACCGTTTGACTATATATATAAGCTATCAATTTCTTTGGAAAAAGATGACAAGACTGTCTTTTTGCAAGAGTAGGTAACGTGAAGTAGATCTATTTGCTGTAGTTTGACGATCATGCATTCATACGTAGACACGCAATACAGGTGAGTAACAATAAATTATTCAATTTAGTTGAATTGAGGCGCATAGAGCTAAAACGGCTTAACCCACAAAATAGGTTTTTTCAGAGACTGGCAATACAAGTTTCTTCTATTTTTCATTTGCATTTTTTTAATCACTGAATTGTCATAAAACATAAATTGAAAGTTATTTTTGAAGAATAAATTTGTGTCTTTTTAACTATATATAAGCCATTTACAAGCTTTAAGTTTTCAAAGTTGTAATGTGGGTTAGGCCACTAGGAATTTTCAAAAATGAGTAACTTACAAAAATGTTTGACGGTTAGTCCACCTCTGTGAAATATAATAATTCCCTTTGACTTACATTTTAATGTATATAACACAGTTATATTAGACAAAGTGTTAATTGTTAAAAATTTACTAAACTTGCATGAGAATTTTAAATGTTTCATGCTGAGAACAAATAAAAAATTACTTTTAAAGAGGATTTTATACCTATAAAAATTATACCAAATAATAACAGCAATTTTTTTAAATGAATACAATTTTTGAAATATTAACAAACCTTGTTTATAATATTAATGAAATAACAGACAAATTATTATAACATTTTGTATCAGAGTATAATAATATAAAAAATAAAATTGATTTCTTTTCTTTGATGATAAAATTCATAACAGTTTTATAATAATATGTACTAAAATCTTAATATTGTATAAAACAAATTAAGACCTAACATAATATTTTAATTTTATAATATTTAGGTAATAATACTACTACAACTTATTTATTAAAATAACAAACTAATTGATACAAAAAAAAAAAAAAAAAACAACAACTTTTTAAATGAATACAATTTTTGAATATACATATTCACAAACCTTGTTCATAACGTTAATGAAATATTAGACATGTTGTATCACAGTATAATAATATAAAATACAATAAAATTCATAACAGTATTATAATAATATTATGTATTAAATCCTTAATATTGTATAAAAAAAAATTAAGACCTAACATAATATTTTAATTTTATAATATTTAGGTAATAATACTACTACAACTTATTTATTAAAATAACAAACTAATTGATACAAAAAAAAAAAAAAACAACAACAACTTTTTAAATGAATACAATTTTTGAATATACATATTCACAAACCTTGTTCATAATGTTAATGAAATATTAGACATGTTGTATCACAGTATAATAATATAAAATACAATAAAATTCATAACAGTATTATAATAATATTATGTATTAAATCCTTAATATTGTATAAAAAAAAATTAAGACCTCACATAATATTATAAATTATAATTTCAAAATATTTAGATAATACTATCAAAACTTGGTTATTAAAATAAAAACAATTTAACAGCTGTAT